AGTGAGACAGGTAAAACTAAGGACGAGAAAGGGGATCCTAGTGAGAGATATACGTAAACTGTGTCTTCCTGAAGCGTTACGGGAGAAATGAAGACATTTTGCTGATCAAAACCTTTATATATAAATATCATTAATTTCACTGTGTTTTTTGGGTATATTTGTTTTACTTAACTTATGAACTTGTTTGAATCATTATTTTCGGCCATTTTGGACTCCCGTTTCTCTTGGTTGTTCGTTTGCAGCTTTCCGCTCCAAGAATCTATAAAATAGAAGTAATTGTAATTATTATAATTGTTGTTGTTAGAACGACATTGGTCGTCTATTTGTAATAAACACATTTTGGTCGATTATTTGTGAATTGGCAATAAACTTTGGTAACCACTTTGGAGTTTCCTTTTGGTTTAATCTTTGGGATCGTGAATTGCAAATAGATCGACACACCGTGCTTCTAAGCATCAAAGAGCAAAAAGTGGACGTAACAGTGATAGCACCAAGTTGTCTTCGCATAAATTGAAGAGTCGCATTTTCCTCGGCTGCATCCTCTACATAGTTTGGACTGCTGTGGAGGCTTTCTGTGGTTATTAAACCAACATCGCCCTCTGATGAGACATTAGGGAGCGGACTTCCATTGATGGTATAGGTGGTTTGCGTCATATGAGGCAGGAGATGCACGACGTGGCAATTCGGTTGGTTGAGTTTTAAACCGTTTTTCACCGTCCATTTCTCAATAGATGTAAGGTCCTTTTGAAGCTCAGTCGAAACCTCTTCACTTCTATTGGATCTCCAGATCTTCGCATCGTCTGCTTAGATCAATGCCGGTCAGCTAACTGAGCCTAGCAGGTCGTTAATAAATATCAGGAAGAGAAGTGGGCCTAGGATGGTCCCCTGTGAAACTCCCGATGTAGATACTCACCAACTGGCGTGCACTCTGTTTACCTTGGTGCGAAACTTTCTATTCTCAAAGCAGTTTCTGAGCCAAGATAGGAGTGGGTCAGTGAAGCCCATTTCCACAACCTTTTCGATTAGGCGTGCGTGGGGTACTGTGTGCATGGCTTTTGCGAAGTCGTGAAATATTACCTGCACCGGTATTTTATGGTCCAAACAGGATGTCCAACTGTCCTATGAGATGAGGAGACCTGCGTTTACGAAACCCGTGGATAGAAGAGAAGTCGAAGTAAGATACTGGAGTAAGAAGTCTAGAGTTTGTAAAAAGAAAATATTGATGAATAAAATTTAACATTGTCTAACTGCGTTTTTTTGTTATAAACAGAAGGGTTTTCTGATATTTGATATCCATTTCATTGATAAGAGAAAACCAAAGTACCCTGAAGCTTCTTCTGTGTAGGAGTCCTCCAGATGCGGAATGCTCTCATGACTAGAAACGAACAGAATCCTCGTAATATGGAAACTGATATTTTCCTGACAACACATCGAATTCGTAAGAAACTAACTCAAGTTATATAACAGTTTTCACTTGCTCGTTATTATGACATTAGATCCTACAACGCTTCGAAATCGATGTGTCCTCGTTGACCTCCCGCTATTTACTGAGAGCAATCGAGATTTGGATATCAAATTGGGACATTTAATCATTAAATATATATCAACTAATGATAATATATTTATTCTCAAATAACAACGTTACAAGAGTCACGCCAGTTTACAGGCTAGATCAAATTGTCACAAATGCTTTCACAATTACTGTAAAGTTATAGCTGTTAAATTAAGTATAAGAGTCAGTTTCTGATTGCATATTTACACCATGTCACTGACAGAAATAGTATAATACAGCCACATTTTCAATAGTAGAGTACAAATAAGGATTGTGCACAATAGGTTCTCTTGGCGATTCGCCCAGATCAATGGTGATATTGTTGGGAAAGGTCAAATGGAACGCGCTTGATACGTGCTGTGATCCAGACAGTAATGTACATAGTGTGCATGTTCCCTAGAGTCATCAAGGATTTCCCACCGTGAATGATGTTCTGAAAAAGGAAAAAGAGAGAGAGAAAAAGGCAGCAGTATGGCAAGTGTATATATATAACCAAAGCACTACTTAACCTGCCATGTTGAAGTAGTCAATACAGTAGTAAGTACAGATAAAATTCAAACTGACCACTTAAATTAAAGTAAATTATGAAAATATAAGAATATAACCCACAGATGGAAGAGTAGAGGAAAAAAGAATGAAGACTTGTGCAGTATCAGGTGGATAGAAGAGAATTCGGAGTAAGAAGCTGGATTTATGTGCGTTGAAATCGAAAGAGTAGAGTTTGTAGAAAGAAAATATTGATGAATAAAATTTCGGTGGCATACACACATTTAGTCACTCGCAAATGCTTGACTTGTGGAAATATTACTGGATCAATGAGAAGTTGATTACCTGGACGGTCAAAAGTTGAGTTGCGATTTCAGTTGACTTTCAGGCTCCATTCTTTTGCAGTTTATAATTATTAGTACTATTTTCCTCCTTTCAAAACTCCTATCTCGCGTGTTCCACTCTCCGAATCGTCTCATTTTCCGTCATTAAAACTGTTAATCAACAGGTCCAGTGATAGCTACCAGTTCTTACACTATAACACCTGGTAAAACTGATTGAGGTATGAATCAAGAGGCTATTTGTTAGTGGAAAACAACAGTCTTCAGTGACGGAGTTGTGAAAAAACTCAAAACATCATCATTATCAGCGTTGAACTTTGCAAATAATTACAGCAAACGTTATTCGACAGTGTACATCAAAATAATGCTCGCAGTTCCGAACACTCTACCTAAACAGCTCTACTAGGTCTTTGACGAAGAAACCAAGATGACCCTACTACTCAGATTCCTACTCCTCATAGTAATGGTGGGCGAAATACGAACAGAAGAAAAAGGGCATTCTTCGACTAAATTCACACGGTTTTTGTTTAATGAATCACACAAGGGTAAACGTTATCCTGAGCGATGCCAGTCAAAACCAGTGGCTCTGTAATTTATTGCGACTTATGCAGTACATGATCATTGTTGCTGTGAAACTGCAGTACCTATGCAGTACAATGGGTTCATACTGAGTCACTCTGTCCGCGGTTCTAGTATATCTATCCACAGTGACGAAACAGAAGAGAAAAAAAGTAGCCATCGTGCGAGCCAGGACACCAACGAAACTGCCTGTTGTTGCAAACCTTATAGTATCTATTATTATTACGGAGCAGTGAGTGAGTTAAAGTAAGGAAATGACAACACTAACTCGCAAAATGCTACAAATCAGGCACGGCGACTTTAGAATAAATTCAATAATTTTTATTTCAGCACCAGTTTAGGTCAGCAGGTAACTGGAAGGAGTTGCTGCCTTTAATACAGAACAGTGGGACAAGTACTGCGCTATCGTTGAAATGAGCCATACTCAGGTCAAACTATGCTGTCTTTTTAAAGGTTGGAACGTGTCTAAAGGCTAACTTTCTCCGTTGAAGGTAATTTTAGACTGGGCGAAGGTGCCGGAGTAATCCTCATCACAATAAAGAGACCCTCGGTTTGACTGATTCGTCCAAGATTAGGCCGGTACAATAGTTGATGTCGTACATAAGCTGGTTATATGTAGCTTGGATAAAGCGCAGGCAACAGTGACGATGACAATCACGTAGCAGCGGCCATCAAACCGCCATGATGACTAGCATCTCTGGAGTGCCTCATCCGTCGCTTACAACAATTTTCAATCTCAATCTCGGATATCTGTCGGCGTCCGAATATCAGAAGACCCATCTAAGGCCATTCAAGCTTGATCTCTCTGGTCACATTAAATGTTGTGAGAGACGACCTGGATCTGTGAAACAACAACAAAGATGCGAAAATAAACGCACAATAACAACAGTTGACCTCTATCAGCAACGTACGGCACAAGACACGAAGATACTGGTCTCTCCGACTGGATGCATTATAGAGGTAAAAGGTTTGCAGAAGCACGTTTTCACAATACTGGTCAACTGGGGTTAAACAAATTTCATGGGGCACGCTGTTAGAAACAACGAATATATCCTCTTAGATTGATCAAAACTTAGTAATCGAAACTGAAACACGGCTATAAGCAGACATTTCAGTTGATAATGGTTGCGTAGCATGACACTATGGATACGATTGTGTACACCGAACACTGAGGGTAGTGCAGTCATGACTAACGTGTTCATGAATGAAACGCTCAAGCAGAATGACAACGAGCGTGGCCTTTGCTACGCTGGAGCAAATTACGCGCGCGTGAAAGAGTGTCTTCTACACGCATCGTGGCCATGGGAATGGTGAAGGCGAACAAAAGATGATCACTGGAAAACAGTGGGAGACATCATGCAGAACGCTGTCCGAGACAATGTGCCTCAGACACAACGCACAACGTGAGACATAACAAACCTAGGCTTTTCGAGACACCGAACGCTGTCTACAGGCGAAACTCAGAGCCTGATGAAATTCGATGGTCTCACTGATGGATTGGAAACGTACTTTCTACTTGATATTGAGAAAATGTTATGATGCCAGTGTTCACACCGATTGAGGACGCTTTTGGATGGAGCTAGCAGCCAAAAATAAGGGCAAACCCTCAGTGTATTTTCAGGGTAAAGACCAATAGAAAACCTTCGAACCAGAGAGTTTGCACACCAAAAGGTCCAAATCGCAGTCATCTCACCGACATATATGGCTGTAGCCATATTAAGTATCAAATTTAAACAACATATGTATAGTTTAAAAGGAAACATAAAATCTTCGATATGAGAACAAGATATAGAAATAATAACAAGATACAAATGATAAAATCTCAAAATGGAATCAAGTAGAGTACCAAAATATCGAACAGAAAGAGTCAGTAATATCATAACACAAATATAGATACATGGAGGGTTTTCCCAAAAACCAAACCTTCAAAATAGATTCTACACCCATAGTCTCGAAGAAGTATGCAGATGCCGTCAGCTCACTGATGAGTGAGCTGTTCATGCGTTCTATGGTGCATCACCAAATCCCAACTGAATGAGAACGTTTTAGTCTTTCTTCAATCCTTAAGGTAGGAAATAGGAAGGAACAAACATTTCATACTAGTCACATTACTGCCAATAATATCGAATGTAATAGGAGGGAAAGTGAACGTATAAATGAACTGCTTCAATATCGCATATTGGACATTGGATGCTGAAAGTCGCCGCTCTATTGAGAACGTGCGTTGTTGGTTTTCATGTGGTGTCAAGTCCGCATTTGGTAAGCTTGCCTATAAATTACATCTAGTGGAGTGGTTGAGTTACACAGAGTTTGATGGTCTCAGTTTACAGTGCTTCTGTCCGAATATGAGAGAACTGGAACCGACCTGCATCCCCAAAATTACTTTCAGTCGTTGGTTTGTTTGCGTTTTTCTACAAAGTACGTTGTTAGGAGCAGTATATGACATCATCTGAAAGAGGAAAGAGCAAGAAAAAAAGTAAGGGGACAACTGAAAGCCGAAAAGGTGCACATAGATCAGATAGAGAAATTAGTCGATATCAATTAGAAAACACAAGCATTATATGAAGACTAACAGGAAGTTGGAACTGTAGATCTTAAGTGTAAATTTCGGAATATACTGACTTTTCTGGTATCACCGTTAATGAGTGGATGATATTAAGAGGAATATAGGTGAACGGATATGACGTTACTGCCACAACTGCGATCAACTAGTAAAGATCAGGATATTTGATCTTCCTGTTGTTAAGTCCACGAAGTTATTTAACCTTATCATTACCTATCTTATGAATTCATTCTAACTTATATGTATCATATTTTACAGCATTCTCAGGTTGAAGTTCCTAATATTCAGCTGCTTCTTAGATAATTTGATCGGTTCGCATTATCTACACTTTATTCTCCTAACTATTTTAACATATTTCGATTTGATACAAGATGGATGGATTGACATCTCTTGCGAACTTTACGGATTAATTTTATCTTGGATGAATTCCATGGTGATTGCTTTATGTTACAGTATTCCTATTTGTGTGTTTAGGTCAATGGGAGAATACTTTAATCTGCCCGTTGAATATCTATACTGCCCTTGGAATCTTTCTTTGTGTCAGTGGAAACAATACAAAATCTGAAATGTTAAGGGCGATGCAGTTATCTGACCATTCGAATGCTATGAGGTTGATTGTAGGATCTGTCAACTTTTAAATAAATGTTCGAGACGCAGTGATAGTGATGAGATAGTCCTGCAGAAAATTTGAGAATCAAGGAGCAGTTCTGTATTAATTTGGAGACATACTACGATACCGAATGAGAACATGTGAGTTCATGTTTTGTGTTACCAGTTTTGCACGTGTAGGTGGTATTTGAGACCGACACTTATAGTTCTGGAAAGTGAATGAATCAGTGGGTTAGTGAGCAGACTAGAAGAGAAATTCAAGGACTCCTTTCACCTAGTTGTTTAACAAGTGACACGTTTCGTGTAGTGACAGCTATTACATAAATCTAAGGCAAATATGCATCGATGCACCTTATATTTGTGTCTCTGCTATATCAGTTGACAAATCTTAACGAGCGTTGTTATTTAGGTATGTGAAATCTGGCTTGCTTAGATGCCTTAACTTTGACAAGCCGAGCGGTTTCGAACCTGTAACCTACTAGATGGTGGAAGTAGAGAAGTGATATTTACTGTGCCTCTTCATTCTGCAAACAGGTCAAAATAATGAGCGTCAAGTGTACTTTAATGTTTATACGGTGGATTGATCACTGAGTAGTGACTTGTTTCGTCATGACCACAGGGGAAGTTTACTGACGAGTGCGAAAACTGATGAAACCTAGGTCCAGGGTTCTTGTCCAGCAGCCACCTTACATAGGATGTTTTGAGGATGGCTATAGTTGTTGTTCAGTAGCAGTGTCTATCATTGAGAGGTGTACAACAGGAGCATATTAATTTTCTACAGGCTCTAGTAGAACACAATTGTTGGAGTCAGAGCCTAAGGCGAACTGTCGTCGGAATCGCTTACTTCAGATTGTGTTTATCGCAATTGTCCGTTTTCTCCATTCATATTTAGATGTGCAATGGAAATGCTTTTAAAAATAACGCATTGATGGACGAACGATGTATTGTGATGTATGTGTTGGTTGAAGGAATGTTATGGGCTCTCGAAAGAAGACATGGCATAAATCCATAAAGTCACTGACAACTGGATTCAGTGGTGTTAGTAGCTGTAGACTGCGAGATAATGGTAACGGAGGGTTAGGGACTATGAGTGACATTGTCCATTGCAATGGCACAAATGCATCTGTTCTTATTTATATAATTTAAACACAGAAACATTAGTAAAATGTGGCACCTAAATGTTTGTGCGCGACACCAATTATTGAACTTGTGAGTTGGTTGGGATTCTGTCCGAGTGCTCAAACGGAGTCGGACAATAAATGAAAGCTTTTAATTCAACGAACAAAGAAGGTACGAAACTTAATGGTTAAGCCTTTTGCCTATTTCGAATCAAGTTATACAATAAATGCTTGAAAAGTAGCTTTGATTGTTTGTCAATGTTTGTTTATTCCTCTGTTCACACTTGTTATAGGTGGATGAGAATTGTGCAGTGGCAGCTGCATCAACAGCAACTTCGATTGTCTAATGCATAGCTGTATGATCGTGCAAACGTGTGGCAAAATTTCGTATTGTTCATTAATTCTTCACATCCATTATTTGGAATGATACTCTACCAATATTTCTTAGACATGGGATATTAACATTGAGTTCGTGATGAGTGAGGCTGTGACTAGAGCCTACAGAAAAGTGTTTTTTCTACAGAAAGGAAGTATCTTACAATTTTTCAAGATTCAGCAAATTGCATGTGTTTTTATTGAATTATTCCCATGTGCCTAACTAATCGAATTTTTAATAGAAGAATTTGTTTTGATATCTTGTTAAACCATTTTTACTTCTGTGATCATGTAATGATTTTGTTAACTTTATGTTCACATGACCACTGATGAATAATTCATGGAAGTTTGTTCTATTGTCAATGTTTGTTTTTTATTTAAATTAAGTTTGAATTCTCATAGGTATACAGGAAGAGACATTTTGAACGGAAATATAACTGTAGTAATGCTCGTTATTGCAACAACATGAGTTGTACGAATGGCCAAATTGTTGGGAATATCATTTCTAGGGAGTATTCAAGTAGCCCTTAATGAATCACTTCGAAACGCGCTGATACAGTTGAGGTTGAGAATAGTTTGCTTTTATGCAGGTATGCTCACTCAGTGATTCGCTTCTAGCCACTAGTAGGGAAGTTCTAGTCATTGATTTCCTACTTCTCCCTAACTTGGTTAACATATGCGATGTAGGTACAAGAAGGAAAGTTGGAACAGCTTGATTTTAAAGCAATGGGTTGGGAGAACTTGGGACACGGGAACAACAATTCAATCGGTGCCAGTCACTTGACACATTCTTTCGATGTTGTGGTCTTCTTGCACGGATATATCGAGGATGTTGTAGTAGTTTCTTTTAATATCTGTCCTGAAATTCGGAAATAATCCCTGTGACTGTCTGAAATCTTCCTAATCTGCACTTACCAGAGTGGTCTCTTACACTAAATACTTCATAGTCAGTATCGAGAACACGGTATTTCCACCGAGCATTGATGGCTTTGACTGATGTGAGAGGTATGTTTAAGATACACTGTTCAGATTGATATGGTAACCTCAACGTCATCTGAGAGAAGTGTAACAGCTGCCATCTATCCATCAGATTTACATTGTAATCAGGGTGAAGTTAGGAGTTTCATTTCGTTGATGTAGTAAACAGGATGTTACGTTACGAAGGTCTTCATAGCGAGAAGCAACTTGAAATGAAGAATGTAGGAAGTTCCGTAAGGAGTCTCACTAGACAGAAAATAAAACTAAATTCAATCTTTATAAACAAATGTTAGATAAATGTATTTCGAATATATGATATACGATGAACTATGAAATCTCTATCAGATATTCCTTAAAAGCCGCCATGCATTCAGGCTTTTGATCAAAACATGAGATGCAACGTACAATTAGTGTTTCCTAACACAGTTCTTAAGAAAACTGTTTTCATGAACATTGATTTGTAAGGAAACACTGCTGTGGAAATTTTGAAGAATCGTCTAATAGGATATTTAAATAAAGTGTTGTATGCCACCAAGCATCATACAGTGCTTTCGAACAGTTTCAATATTCGTGAATATGTGTATTTATTAGTTCATGCACACTTACAGAGCATATTACGTTTCACAATAACTTGAAAAATACTTGTTAGAATAAATGAGTGATAGTGTTTATTTACATGAGAACTGTTATTATCCTTACCCACTGTGATTTAAATGTCGGCAGGTCAAGGCTACGAATATCTGAGGTAACATTTGCGTTTATTAGTAATTCTAAGTCAATTTAGTCTTGGAATGAACATCACTGTTTCGGTGAAATATGCGAAACGATTCAGCGAATAATTGCAAAATAAGTTTAAATTGATGAGCACATGTTAGATAATTGTTCTATCGCGTGGTATATGAGTTGATAATATTGTTGTCATAGACTATATAAAGTCAATTATTTATTTTAAAACTATGAAATATTCAGATTATAAGGTCGCATTCCGAATGACTGTAGTTCAATAGTTGTAGATCATCTGACATAGATTGCGTAGACGACTATGTTGTGAAGTGGTGAATTAAAAGTGACGATTATCCTCACATGTCTCTTATGAGATTATAGCATGTAAAATCACCATGGAATTAATCTTTGTTTGCTTGTAAACCATGTGGTGTCAGAGAGCGTGTTTTACTTAAGTATTGATAACGATATTTCGTGTTCGCTGCTGTATTCAGTTGTATTTAGTTTAGTATGTTGTGGAGTATACAGTCAGCGATATATGACCATACTGATTCTTAGGGATGCACTGTCAAAGTTGTAACTGAGATGGATTAACTTATTGATGTAATAACACACCACTAGTGATGAATGAGAATGTTCTCAATGCAGGCAAATAATTTTTGTTCGTATTAGCTGAATCCAGTGAAAAGCGAACTATGCAGTAAGCATGCAACTAGACAGTTTGATGTGGGAATGCTAGTTGAGTAACCATAGGATTAACTTGTTTAAGTTGAAGTGACCATTATTGTGGTCAACGGTAACTGAAGACTTCAAGTATGTTGTCTTTCTACAGTAGAGGCGGACACCTGCTAAGTTTGTTAACAATCACTTCATTGGCTTATTACTGAAATACTCCAGTTCTCAATCTAAATCCTATTGCAGTACTGATTTTAACCTTGAACTAACGTCATTAAATGACTGAAATCATATGAACGCTAAGAGATTGAGCTGAATCTCTCTGATTTAAATATACTCAAAACCCCGAAGTCAGGCACTTTTATCCTTAGAATTTCAATCATGTCACACTTTCCATATATTTATGATCAAATATTTTCGTGAATTATGAAATTCACTAACAAAACCAGCTGAAAACGTCAATAGAATTAGAAAATGTATGGATGAAAATATTTGCTATATCGTATTACGTTATTGTCCAGTGTAGGTGTTCATTTTGTTGTGTTTCCATTTTAGGCCTCCGTATTATTTCCATTGTATCATGTGAACCAGAGTGATGAAGTAACAGTGAATTTGTGAAGAGTAACCATGTTGAATATGCTACAGAAAGAATCTGATAAAGAATGCTAAGTGAATTACATTTAAATGGAATCAAAGTTAGGATGGTAACTTTGATTCCGTTTATCATCCTCAAACAAGAGAGGATGAAGCTACTTTGAGAATAAATGTACCAACGTCGTAAGAATCACGATCAAATGAAATAGTTATGTGAATATCTCAGTCCTGCATTAGATTAGCCACTGCTTAGCCGATTCAATCATAATAGTTCCCAATATGAGGTCAGAATTCTATGAGGAATATTTACGTTCTACACTTGTCAAACAGCAAAAAACTAATGTTATTTAGGGTTTCCTTCA